TTTCTTATAATGTATTTATAAAATAGAACAGATCTAGAGAATAAAAACAAGCTGGTACTGAATAGGGGGTACCCTATAGAAAATGACCAAAATAAACGAGATAAGTAAACCATCTAAGTGTTAAAACATAACTTTTACTCATATAAATTAAAACTCATTGAAAAATATACCTCCCAGTGTCAGTTGTAAAAATGTGAAATACTAGACACAGGTATGTATAATGTTCAGCTATTTTGCCAAGGGGTGAAATGTACTTCTAAGGAATTGATGCTGTAAGTAAAAGAAGGACAAAGAGCGATATCGTAATATACAGCCAGTGTCTGCACAGAATGAAAATTGCATAGGAAAACACATATTATAATTACTGACCTTTTAATAATGCCCTGCCTATGATAATGTCACCTCTCTGCTAATAAGTTGTATGAACTCAGACGCTGCCCCTACTGTGCCTTCAAGGGCGTCTAGTGCTACACACTGAATCTACGACACTAGAGTATCCACAATGAAAGTTGTAAATTCCCTATGGCTAATGAAACATTATTATTATTATTATTATTATTGCCATTTATATAGCGCCAACAGATTCCGTAGCGCTTTACAATATTTTGAGATGGGGGATGTAACAATAAATAGGACAATTACAAGAAAACTTACAGGAACAATAGGTTGAAGAGGACCCTGCTCAAACGAGCTTACAGTCTATAGGATAAAGCAACTCCTGAAAAATAGATGAGAATATTAAAACAATAAACAAAAAGGAAAACACCATCGTAAAACAATGACAAAAGGTAGCACTGTTAGTGAAACTGCAACAAACGTTTCGCCAGTCAGTCGGTTCTTCATTGAGTTTTCATTTTTATCAGTAAAGATTATATTTTAATATTTAACCGGTTTACTTTTCTTCTCTATTTATTTATTTTGTTACATATTGAAATTTTATTGAGATATGCAAGATAATAAATTAATAAAAGTAAGCAAGTAGTGTAGTACCAAAAATTACATTTTGTATAATGAGGTAAAATGGAGAATTGGTAAAAGAGGAGGAGGAAGGTGGTGAGGAGTGGGTGAGCTGTAGCATTGATGGTCGCTCCAAGGGGGTGGGGCAAATGAGGGGAGGGGGAGTGAAAATAATGAAAATTTTAGCCCTTGCCCCCATTACACTCCTTAACGTACTAGTGCATTCTCTCCATCTTTAACATATTTTTTAATCAATGTTTTTACTTTGTTTCTTCGTTTCCTATTAATTATCCTCCTCTGCCCCTTTCAACCCTTACTATAGGCAGGGGTGGCATACGTGTGCCTAGGTGCACCCAGAAGTACTGTCCTTATGTAGGGGATTAAAAGAGAGATTTAAATAGGGTGAGTTAAAGGACTCCCTGTAATTGCTATAGTGCCAGGAGTGCCCTCACACCCTCCCAGGATAAATAATCAGCACAGATTGATAACTTATCTACAGTACGCTGCGCGCTGGTCACCGTGTGTAATGATTTTAAAGGCTGTCAAATCACCTTCTACAGGGAACTCTCACCCCACACCATCTTATGGAGGCAATTGTTACGGCAAGTTACCCAACTCCTTCGGGAACACAAGATATCCTTCATAAGGGGCTCAAGACGTCTTCTGGTGGAGAAATGTTGCAAGACATACCCTGTCACTCATCTTTCGTAGGTTCCCACACCAATCCAGGATCTAGGATTACGTGCAAGATCCATCAAGCCCGTACCACGTGCATCCTGGTCTGTGGACCACATTATACCATTATAGACAGACCCACGTAGAAAGACAGACAGACCGGCATAAAGACAGATTGACAGGTAGGTAGAGATAGACAGACAGATAAGACAGACAGACAGACAGACAGATACTAACAGCCAGTTGTGGCTCTACCGTGAAATAGCAGAGTAAAAGTCTGTTATTTCTATTAGATGGTATCAGAGAAAGAGTTTTGCTGCGCATGCGCACTAGCCTCTCGGTGATTGCTAAATCTTTAATGAGAATTTTAAAGAATAAAAGTAGCATCTCATGATAACAGGTTAACATGAGTAATAGGTGACTTTTAATATTTTATTCGATGTTGTCAAATTCCAGAGATGTAAGAGTCCCCTATAATGGAGGATAAGGCTGATTACATGAGTAGAAGACTGATGTTATGGAAGAATGAATGTGATCATTCCTAGCGTGGGATGAGAGAAACCTCCTCTCTAACTCACATGTACTAACACCCTATGAATTCTGTGCTGATTAAAAAAACAAGTTGAAGTTAATGAAGACTCATTGTGGCAGAATGGTGAACAACATTGCTAACAGTAAGTTAATTCCTGTGTTTTATGCACATTACCACATAAGTAGATAAGTCTCAGCGTAGAAAGTAGGCCCCAGAGGCAGATTGCCTGTATCACCCAATATCAAATTCTGCTCATTATGTGATGAGTCCACAGTATATTATTGTAAGGATTATTGTAAGCCGCAAAAAATCTCTTCATTTATCACCCACTAGTATGACGCAGAGAAAGCAATGGAATAAACTGAAAGCAATGTAGTTTTTCTGGGTGTGCAAATGAGCCTGCATCAGGAGAGGAGGGAGGCGAGGTCTGCAGGTGTAAAGGGGTTCTCTCCCAAAGCTTTGTTTGCGCACCAATGACTGATTATACACGAAGATTACCACTTGGTTATTGTCCCATGAAAAAACATTACAAGTTCCCAGGCACCTGTCACACCAACACACCTCCTCTTCTCATCGTATTTGCCTGTCACCTGCAAATTGCGTCTCTTTCAATCCCCTTTAGCATCGGCATACAGGTGGAGGGATTGGGGAGGCCAGGATTTTTGGTAGTGCGCCTCAGAGAAAAGGCCTATATTCTGCTATGGTGCAGACTGCCAATCACGTTCAATGTACAGTAAATAGTACACCCATGTCTAATGAGATGAATATGTGTGTGCAAATAGCCTCGTAATAATATCAATTTCATTTACAGAATGGCTCACCTGTAGTTCAAATCCTTGGAAGGTTTAGCAATGATTTACTGTGGTCACTTAGGTCACACGACAATTGCTCAATAGGTCATTGCAATTTTAACCTTTGCACAACTAGCAGCATATCTCAATCTATAGGGGGATTGGATTCATTGTGGCCAGATTGCTAAAATCTCTTCCACAACTCCCATCTATCTTGGCCAGCCTCTATACGAATTGCATTTGCATTGTTACTTTGGCAAAGAAACACAAAACATAAACTATCATAAATACTAGTGTTAAATCGCAGTCATGCAGAAGGGATTTACCTGGTGTGCTCTGACAAGGTACGCAATGTAAATTAATTGTAAAGACAGCACTAGGAGGAAATCCAGAGAAAATCATCCAGGAAACAATAATCGTGAATGGACAAAAATAGAATGAAAGTCAAAATGCCCGTAAGAAGGGGGGGGGGAAGGAGACGCAAAACATATCAAAAATCTCTGAAACTGCTAAACTCTGTGAAACTGCAGGAGGTGTCTCGGTGAGACAGCCGCTAGAGGCAGTGTTAACCCTGCAGTGTAAACTTTGAAGTTTCTCTGAAAGTGCAATATTTCCCATAGCCAGACAAAGGGGGACAGGGACATTACACCCAGACCTATTCAGGTGTCACTCGGTGTCTATGGTGCCCTTTAAGGCATTAATGTGCTCTGTCCTCTTTAGTTTTAATTATCGCGTAGATAATGACTAACAATGCTGAAATGGCTCGGAAGTAAGAGTGATGTTAGGATTAGAGTGGGTTGAGAGGATTTGGAATTATCTTGAAATCCATCCATCCCATTATCTTCCCATTTTGTTTCATACCCTGCAGACCGGTTCACAATATTCTCTGCAATGCACAGTTTGATGGATGACATGTAGAATGGGAGTCCATAGTCTCAGAGCAGGTTGTGGTTGATATTAGTGAGAGATGCTCTCTGGGAGATAGCTGCTAATTGCAGCTGACACTGTTTTCATTTAGCCCTTCACCCATAACAATATTGTGAGAGCAGACCTGAGGAGACAGAAACAGTGTGATTCTCTGTCCCAGCTCCTCTACTGCGTCTCACTATGAGGAGTAGCACAGGAGTGTGACTCCCAGCAATCATGGGCAGACCTACAATCCATAATTGCAGTCATACAGTAATCATACTATGAAGCACATTAAAGGAAGATCATGTCATCTTGGGCTTTTCTGTAGACATTCATACGACTCTTGGCCTTTGTTTGAATTTATTATGTTGTCTCCATAACTCCTTAATGCTGCCCAGGAGTGAAACTCCCAATAATCTCAGGCAGAGTGCAATGTGTACATCCTGGTGCTCCCATAGGACTACAGGAACCCTGGTTTATTTTGATACCTCTATAATTTCCCCATAATACACAGGCCATCATTATACCCCCCCCCCTCATGTAAAGGGTTAATGATACAGAGAATACTTCGCAGAGCTCTTTATTGGATTCATTGCTTTGAGTTGTTGGGCAGTCTGAGTGCAGACTGTGTTTCCGTGACTGGTACTCACTTTTCTTTCATACCTTTCATGTAGCTGTGTTTGCATGCTGACATTAGATGACAATATGATGTGTGTGTCCCTTTTTTTTCCCAAGAGCTGTGTTTGGTGACAATTACAGCTCGTATTTCATAATCACTGCCTCTCTCCGTGTACACAGGGCTGTACAAGGAAGTGAAAAACGAGACAGAAGGATAGAATCACAGCGTCCAATTTAATTCCTATCAGAAAGATGCTGACTATTAACGTAGGACAGGCCCAGTGCTTCTAAAAAAACTCAAAGAGCAAACTGATAGCGATTTGCAAGCTTCCATCATTCACAATATAGGAATTCGTATTGTTTGCATGCTGTTATAAGGGTCAGTGCACAAGCTGTTGTTTTACTTTGTTTGCTAATATACAATTTGGTGACCGAGCGAGAGGACACAGTATTTGTAAAGGTACCATGAAGTGCCACACATCCTTTCCCCTCAGCTGAGGTCCAACCTAATCAAACATTGTATGAATACCAATCAAAGGTTGCCTCTTTTTACAGAGGAGTGTGTATAACAAAAGTGCTCAAAAGAGTCAAAAAGTGATTTACAGGCAGCTCAATACACTAGTGTGGAAATATCCTCTATTCCACTGAATAAATTTAGTAGATATTGGTGCGGTGTAAGTGACAAGGACCTACACCTATAAGTGGAGCGCTCAAACACAGATAAATCTTACCAAAACGTAGTCTCATTCAATGGTAAAATATGGGGTACATGTATTTCAAGGAGCCTGTATATAGAAAACACTGGCTCCGTATAAAGGCTTGTGTGCTGTTATGGTAGCACCACCCTCCTACTTCGGCTTGAAGAATTTCTCGGGAACACGAAAAAAACTCGGTAATATTCACTTATAATCTTCGTTAATCTACGCGCATTTGTACTGCATTTTATTTTTAACTCCTTCTTTCCCAGCCATGTGTATATCAGAGTTAGATTTTGACAGAAATTGCTTTACAAAAAAAAAATGGAATCTAGATTAAAGGCATGGATCTGAAACCATCCCTTATGTGTCACTCCAATCCAGTTATGATGTGGGCAGAGGAATCAATGTATCCATTGGTGTTCAGTATCTGTGTGCTGGGCAGAAATCCTACCATCCCCTGCATTCACGTTAATAGTGATTATAACATAGTTATGTCAAATTATGCTCTGCTGGTTTTGTGTGGCCAATGTCATTAGCCCACTGGGTTGGGGTATTTGAAGGTGAAAAGGTCAAAGATCTAAAAGGTATGCTAATATTTTAGGATACACCTTGAAGTATTGCAAGCTAATAATTACCAATCAATTCCTCACATAGTTTATCCCTATAATATTTATGTAATTATTAATGGAATATTGCCCTACTTTTATATCCCATGTTTTAAATACACATCTTGTTTATTAAAAACACTCAGTAGTGAAGGGGTTAACTGTGTGTTTTTCCCTAATTAGAGTCAATGTTTCCCTCGCTGGAAGGTCAGTTAAAATATACTAATAAACATGTTATCTATTTATGTAAATAAACAGAATACAGTTATTATATTGTGTATACTGTAAGAATTATATATTATATTATATACAGTTATTATATTGTGTATACTGTAAGAATTATATATTATATTATATACAGTTATTATATTGTGTATACTGTAAGAATTATATATTATATTATATACAGTTATTATATTGTGTATACTGTGTGAATGATACATTATTATATTATATACAGTTATTATATTGTGTATACTGTAAGAATTATATATTATATTATATACAGTTATTATATTGTGTATACTGTATGAATGATACATTATTATATTATATACAGTTATTATATTGTGTATACTGTGTGAATGATACATTATTATATTATATACAGTTATTATATTGTGTATACTGTAAGAATTATATATTATATTATATACAGTTATTATATTGTGTATACTGTATGAATGATACATTATTATATTATATACAGTTATTATATTGTGTATACTGTGTGAATGATACATTATTATATTATATACAGTTATTATATTGTGTATACTGTGTGAATTATACATTATTATATTATATACAGTTATTATATTGTGTATACTGTGTGAATGATACATTATTATATTATATACAGTTATTATATTGTGTATACTGTATGAATGATACATTATTATATTATATACAGTTATTATATTGTGTATACTGTGTGAATGATACATTATTATATTATATACAGTTATTACATTGTGTATACTGAATGAATGATACATTATTATATACAATTATTACATTGTATGAATGATACATTGTTATATTATATACAGTTATTACATTGTATGAATGATACATTATTATATACAGTTATTACATTGTATGAATGATACATTGTTATATTATATACAGTTATTACATTGTATGAATGATACATTATTATATACAGTACTGGATGTGATTATACTGGACACTATGTGTAATGGAAGGTCACTATATATATATCCAGCTTTATGTCAGTGATAGGAGTTGGATGGGGTGTGCTTGCAGTTTCTGTATCAGCCAGCAGCCAGCAGTATGTGTGTGTGAGATATGAGGCAATGCACAGGGAAGGGAGAGACAGAGAGAGAGAGAGAGAGAGGGGGGGGGGAAGAGAGACACACAGGCTGGTTCCTTCTTTCTAGAGATCCTCATTCATTGAGACTCTCAGCCGCACAGAGGAGCTCCAACAGACCACCTGCACCCCCTCTGCTCCCCCCCCCACCCAGGGGGCTGCTCACTGGAAACTGATAGAAAGTGGCAAGAGAGCCCACCTTTAGCCCACCTCGCAGGCTGTCTTGTGTTTCCCTGGGACCAAAGGAAAGGGGGAGAGTAGAGAGAGATCCGCGGAGGAGCAGAGGCAGCAAAGAAGATGCACATTAACCAGGAGACTTCCACCAGCAAAGGTAAGAAGTCCCTCCAAGCCCCCCAGGGAGCTGTGTCCTTCATGCTTTGTTATTGCTGTGTCTGTTCATGTTACCTTCCACCCCTCTGCATGTTCTAGCAGGTGTACCCCATTCTTCCTTGCTCTAACTTGTATCTGTGTCCCTTTGTCCTGGATGCCCTACCTTGTCACCCACTAGTTGACACCCATAACAAAACAACAATATAGAGCTGTGATGGTTGAATCTTAGACACTGGCTGAGCATCTTGGGAAATGTAGTCCATGAGGTTTGACATGATTGAGTTAGTGGGTCACCCCATGTATGTGTGTGTGATGGGTAAATACAGGGGTTGTATTGCATTGTTTGATTAAATCTTACAATAAGTACTGCTCTCCAATGGGTGTCAGTAGTCCTGCCCAGTGATGTCAGAGGGTCAGGAGGAAACAAGCACTGTGTACTTTTGGGTCCAGTGTCAGCACTTGTGGAATGTGTTCTGTTTTTCTCTCTAACTAAGTAGGACTGTTCTGGTTACACCTACCCAGAGCCTGAGTGTGATTTCATAGCTGGCTGTTGGGTTAGTGCCATGATTTGACACTCAGCCCTCACCTGCTATTACCCTTTGTGTTCTAACCTCTAGAATTCTTCAATTTTACATCTCGCCTTGGGATTTTTCCTCCCTGTTCCCTGGGTTATCTTCCTGGCTTTTCTTCATGTTTTGTCCTGGTGATCTCCGCATGGTTCCACCTCTCGTTCTCGGGTTTTGTTTGTGTGTTCTTTCTTTGCCTTTCTACTTTTCCTAATGCCTGAGGCACTCCCTTGTTAAATATTAATTACCTTTTTTGTTTGTGTCAACTGTCACCAAATGCGGCTTCCTCTCAGTTTTTCCCTCTACATCTTCTCCCATTTCCACTCTGACCACAATCTGCTCTTCCAGTCCAACCACATTTTCCCATATTATCTCCATCCATATTATTACCGGCTTTTAAATGGCTTCATCTCCTCAATATCTCTTGGACTTCCTGGCCTCTTCATCTTTCCACTATGTCTACTCGGCTGCTGTCCTTTTTTATTGTATTGTCCATACTTATTAATTAAGCTTTCTTAAATTCCATTATCTACACAACCTCCTCTCCAAAGTAGCTTCTCTTCTTCCCTCGTGTTACCTTCTCGATATTTCTCGTCTTTTTCTTTCTCTCTTTCATTCTGTTTTTATCTCTTTTTTGCTCTTTTTCTTTCTTTCTCTCAATCTCTTTCATTCTTTCTCTCTCTCTCTCTCTCTCTCTCTCTCTTTTTCTCTCTCTCCCTCTCTTTCATTCTTTCTCTCTCTCTCTTTCTTTCATTCTCTCTCTCTCTCTCTCTCTCTCTCTCTCTTTCTTTCACTCTCTTTCTTTTTTTCACTCTCTTTCTTTCCTCTTTACGTAGAGTTCTTTTTGGTGGGGTCGCTATTTTTTTCTCTAGCCCCCAAGAGAGAAATGATAAAGGATGTTCAAGGAGAACTTGGTAATATTTATCAATTCTTGCCTCATTTGCAGAATGATTAATAAAATATGGATTTGTTATGATGAAATTGGTGAGCAGCTGATTTCGCCCCATTAGTTTCAGAATATGACATAGAGAGGGGGGCAAAAGAAAAATACATTGATTTATGGAGAACAGTTCTAAATAGAACTTGCAAGAAGAGCAGGGCATTGTTCAAAAATGGCATTATCAGGAATGGTTATATGGAGCAATATGTGGAGTTATCAGGAGTGATTATACCGAGCAATAGGAGATGACATTGAAAGAGATCCGATTATAAATGGTCAATAGAAGAAGGAAGAGTAGGTTCTAACCAGAGTGGGATGAGGAGTCATTAGGTGAGACAGTATACGGAAACAGTTGTAGGGAAGAGCTCTCTGTAGAAATAGGAAAGTTTTTATTGGTCAATTTAAATAATTCCGAGAAGGTTATATGACATAACAGGAGGAGTTATAGGGAGGGTTATATGGACTAATAGGAGGGGTTATAGGGAGGGTTGTATGGACTAATAGGAGGGGTTATAGGGAGGGTTATATGGAGTAATAGGGGGAGTTATAGGGAGGGTTATATGGAGTAATCGGAAGAGTTATAGGGAGGGTTATATG